ATGATTTGAGCCCCTATAAAATGTAAACAAGGCACTAATGAATTAATATTTAAAACTTTTATTAATGTGTTAAGAAATGAAGACCAGAGTCTACATAATGAAAAAATCTTATAATGCATTTGTGAAAATTGACCCTAGACAATCAATTCTGAGACATATACCAGTAAAATTATAAGATGTTAAAAATATAGTATCTTCTGCACCTCCTAGCAAAAAGTTCAAGTAACTTAAATAATAGAGAAAATCAGGGTGGTATCTGACGTCTTGAGACTAGTATACAAAGAAAGACAACAATGGAACACATTTTCAAAAGTCTCTAAGAAACAAAATGTGCAACATAAATTTGCCATATAGCCAATCTGTCTTTCAAGTATATCGGATTATACAAAAATAATATTGAGTATGCAAGCTTATATAGAATGTTGTATGCATAAACACTTCTTGAGGGATCTATTACAGAACAAGCTTCATCCAATCAAGAGCTATTTGAGGACCGTTCACCAAGACTGGTGTTGAGAATTTAACATTGTATTGTATATTTAAGGATGCCTGGTGGTGCAACTGTTAAGCAAGTGGCTAGCCAAAAGTTTGGCTGTTCAAATCCATGTGGTGATCTGCTCAGGCTCAGATTACAGCCTGAAAACCCTATGAGGCAGTTCTACTCTGTCACATGAGGTCACTATGACTCGAAATCAAATTGACAGCTCCTAACAACAACAATTGTATATTTAAGCCTTAAACAAAGTGGATCTACACATGAAATAACAGTATGTGTTATGGATTGAATTGTGTCTCCCCAAAATATGTGTAACTTGACTAGGCCATGATTCCCAGTATTGTGTAATTGTCCTCCATTTTGTCATCTGATGTGATTTCTCTATGTTTTGTAAATCCTACCTTTATGATGTTAATGAGGCAGGATTAAAGGCAGTCATGTTAATGAGGCAGGACTCAATCTACTGGGTAGAGGTCTTTCCTAGTCACCATACCACTGCTACCTTTGTACTAAGAAACTTCTTGAAAATATAATCCCCACTTGCGGAGCACAAACAATTCTTTGCAGTGACAGTAGGACTCATTTTACTGGACAAATAATTAAAGAAATATGTAAGATTTTTCCTATTTATCAAATACTTTATTGCCCTTACCAGCCACAATCTTCTATAGAAAGAATTAATGGTATAATAAAAACCCAGCTGGCTAAACTTTCTAAATCCCTGAACTTATTTTGGATTAAGGTCCTCCCCTTAGTCATTATAAATTTGAGATACACTCCATATGGATCCCATCAACTAACCCCACATGAAATTATTACTGGAAGGCCTATGGCCCTTCTTTATTTCTCAGCCTATACTGATTCTAATTCATTTTAACCTGAATTATTGAAATATTGTCAGTCTTTGACTCAGTACACTAAATAGCACTTTTCAAGAATCAAATAAGCTTTTGATGGCCAAAATTTAGAAATACAAAAATTACCTACTATTTAACTAGATGAGTATGTATATTGGAAGAGGCACCAATTAAAAGATTCCCTGGAGGCCTAATTGGAAAGGACTATATTTGGTCCTTCTCACTAATATTTGTGCTGTCAAATTGCAGGGAGTTAAAACTTAGATTCAACCATCCCAACTTAGGAAGGCTAAAGCAACTTCCTGGACTGCTTAGCCTACAGAAGGACTTAAACTGAAGTTCAAACACCCTTGTGGCCAGAAGCAGACAACATTGGAAGTAGACAACTCCTCCCAAGATCATAGAAAAAAGACTTCATACAAACTCTTGAAATTTTTGGACTTTGTTTTTGGGATGCCCTTATTTTTCATGCATGGGTTTATTTACTGGGAATAACTTTTTATGCAGACTATTGACATTTTTGTGATTTGCTTCATACTTATAACCATCCTTCTATTGATTGCTGTACTACGTTTTGTTGGTATTACCCCTTATTTTAATATCCTCTTTATTCCATGTGAGTAACTGAAGGAGGAGTTTGTTTTATCATAGCTACTATGTTTATAATATTTGCCTTATTGTATTACTTTTTAGTTAGTATTCTTACACTATGAAGTGTTTCTTAAGTATCCTCTCACTGTATATCATGACTTTTGCTGATGCCTGGTATGATAATCCCTTTGTTAGATTAGCTCAGTTGATAGTGCCAGTAATTTGACTGTTTGATTTGCCATCAATTCCCAAAATCTGGACATACTAATTCAGGCACTTTAGCTATGCCTGTGTTTAATTATGGCTCTGTACCTGATTCTACTGTAAACCTTAATATTTCCTTTAAATGAGCTACACGTTTCAAGTTGTGGCATCCTCCAGAATTATAAACAAGTCCCAGGTGTCATGTTTCAATTTAACTTAACACCCTCTAGTCAATGATACAGAGGAAAGTTTGAAAAACTGTAGCAAAAATACATAAAAGCTTTACCCATGTACTGATTGGTCACTCATAACCCAAGGAATCCCAGGTATCTTCAAACTTTTATACAAATACCTTGCATTTACCACCCTACATATTGGGAGCTATTGTCTATTTGTAATAATTCTTTGACTGAAGAATGGCTCGAAAAAGTCAACCAAATCATCCCTTTTTCATAAAATGACACTGAAAATAATATAATCTGTGCTCCTTGTGGATACATATTTTTTGTGGGGGATCAAAATACCCTACTAACAAAAATCCAGATCCGGATAACAAACCCTATGCTTGGACTTTAACATGCCTAGATGGTTTAAAAAAGACAGGTCAATGTATGTCTGGCTTTTTAGGAGTTCTCCTGAATCTCCACTCTTATAATGAAAGTGTACATTGGATCAATGATCTGAAAATCTTTCCCTGACACAAATGAAATTTAAAAATCCTATAATGGACAGATCTAGGGACAGGTGGCATTTCTCTGGGGCTGTTTTCCACTTGTGGGTATCCCCGAACTTGAAAATCAATTCACAATTTGTCTATGACTATGCTCCAAATAACAAATGAAGTAGCCAATAACATAGAAGCCCAATAAGAATCTTTAAACTCTCCTGCCAAAGTTGTGTTGGATAATATAATTGCACTTGATTTTCTTCTAGCACAACAAGGAGGAGTTTGTGCAATTGCTAATACCACTTGCTGTACTTGGATTAATACATCAGGAAAAGCAGAATGAGTCTTAAACAAGTCTGCCAGAAAGCTACATGACTTTAGTTAACCCCTATGTCCAACTCTCCTTTTCCTGATATTTTTGGTTGGTGACCTACCAAAATTGGTTCTTGGTTATTTTCAGTTTTACAAACTGGATTAATTCTCTTAATCATCATAATAATTATTAGAGGATTAATCAAATATTTTATTAAATGTTTTACAAATACTTTTACACACAATGCAACACACTTGCTATACAAAAGATGATGCATTTTGAACAAAGAGCCATTCTTTAGAAAATAGTTTCGCTCTTCACCTTGGCTGATACCTTTCTCTGCTAAGTATTTCTATCAATTTGGCCCTGTTCTTACACACCTCTTCTTAAAAGATAACATAAACAGAAATCCAAGCTATGGCATGGCAAAGATGGAATAGATGGTGCCTGGCTATCTTTCATTGAGAGTGTCTGTGGTCTTAAAAGCCTATTTGGAATAGATGGCCATCTAATAAATACAAAGAAAATAAGTTCATGCAGGAGAGACACTCTTATAAAAGTGATCAGAGAATTTCTATAAAAATTCTTGATCAAAAAGGGGAAGTGAAGGAGCCCCCAAAATTTATATGGCTGGCATAAGGAGAGGCTGGCATAAGTAGATTATTTTTCTACTTTCCTTTTTCTCTGTAATCACAGTTGCTGGCACTACCTAAAATTTCATCCTTAAGATCTCAAGGTCTTCTTGATTCATTAATTCTAGTTTTGTAATTGATTATGGTCAAAGGATATATGAAAGTGGAGAAAATAACCTATTAACAAATATGTATTGATTTTATTTATTGTCAGTACTCCACTTAGTTTTCAGTCTTGTCAAAAGATAAAACAAAACTTTATATAGCTGTTGTTTTTATCACATATATCAATGACATGTATTATAGAAGGAAAGAGATTAAATATTGTAAATGAGTTTATGCATATTCACAGGTAGAAAAATTCCAAGGAATCATGTTCTATTAATGGAAACTAGTAGTGATGTTGCAGTATCCAAAAGTTATTGCATTAATTCCCTAGAAAGTAACAAAATGCATAGTTATTAATTATTAGAGATTATATTTTAGATTCAAATTACTCTTAAGGAAAAAAATAATATCTTTCTGGAATGTGTGATTTTTTGGAATCAAGGGCATTGTTTTCTAAGATTGATATATTTTTGGATAAAATATTGGAGTAAGATTTCATAATATTAGGAAACTTAAGAGGAAATCTACAGAAACTTTCTCATTTTGGAGGCACAGGAAAAAGGAGTGTATTTTGATGATGTAGGTGGATACTGAAACCCATAGTTTCTGTTTTCTTATGACGTACCACATGTGAGTGTTGACTCAGACATTAATATTGTTGAGTAAAATGGGAACAACCTTGGGTCTACGGTAAGAGTCTAATCATTCTGGCTGTACGGAAAAATGTAATAGACTTTCTGCAGAATCATTTAATTTTTTCTTTCAACCAATGTCATTTTAATACCTTGATAGTTCATAGCTTTACTAGCTCTTCTGAAGGACAAGTGAGTCTCTGGTTGATGACTTTTATAACTCTGTCAATATCATTTTGAAAATCAAAAAAATGTTTATCCATTTATTTTTAGTTGGTACTATATTTAAAATATCTTCATATGTCTGTTTTTTAAAATCTTGCTATATTGTACTTGGCTGACTCTACATGGATCCAATAACTTTAATTTTATAAGAAATCTTTTAAAAAACTTTTAAAATATTCTGTTTCCATCTAAATTATATTTTTAACCTAAGTATCCTCTCTAGAACTCACAAAAGAACTCCAGAGTTTCTTCATAGCTGTCTTCATTTCTTTGTTTCACAGAGTGTAGATAATTGGATTCAAGATAGGGGTGACAATGGTATAAAACACAGCAAGGAACTTATCCACAGAGTGGTTGCTGAAGGGCCAGATATAGATGAAGATGCATGGGCCAAAGAAAAGAATCACTACCGTGATGTGGGCAGTCAATGTGGAACGGGCTTTGGAATGCCCAGCAGAAGAGTGGCTCCAAATGGTAATGAGGATCAGACTGTAGGAGATAAGCAAAATAAGGAAACAGCTCAGGGAGATCATTCCACTGTTGGCAACAATGACTATCTGTACAATGTAGGTATCTACACAGGCAAGCTTAGTAACCATAGACAGATCACAGAAAATGCTGTTTACCACATTGGGACCACAGAAAGTCAAATTCACAAAAAATGGTATCTGAAGCCCTGAGTGAAGGAGACCTGAGAACCATGAGGTCACTACCAGCAAAATGCACACCCTCTTGTTCATGATGGCCATGTAGTGTAGTGGCTTACAAATGGCCACATATCTGTCATATGCCATGGAGACCAACAGTACCATTTCAATCCCACCCAGGAAGTGAAGGAGAAAGATCTGAGTGAAACATCCAGCAAAGGAAATAGTCTTATGCTTTTTTACCAAGTTAATAATCATCTCAGGGGTGACAAAAGAAGCAAGAGTCATGTCCACAAAGGAGAGGTTTCCAAGGAGAAAGTACATGGGGGTATTCAGGTTTGGGGTATAAAACACTGTGACCACAATGAGAAGGTTTCCCAAAACAGTGATCACATAGGTAACTGAGAAGAGTGCAACGAGAAGAAATTGTGTATCTTGGGAACTGATCAGTCCCAGCAAAACGAATTCTGACACTTGGGAATGATTGAATTGTTCTATGGAATCCATCATATGGCTTGCCATAGGGATGACCTGTAGAGACAAAGAAGAGAGCAGTAATAGTGTAGAGGTTGACAACATTTTTTGTTATTCCTGTGAGTCCTTCAATATTCTCAATTGAATTTGAAATAAAGTGTCATTTTCCATTACCTCTGAGAGGTAGATGATAGAGTCAAATCATCTTACCTGTCAGAGAACAGGGACTCTAAGCCTAGCTTATAAACAATACCTTTTGGAAAGTAGTTTCTGCTGTATTTGTCTTTATAATTACAACCATGGCTCAACTGCGACAAAGAAACCTCTTTACTTAGATAAAAGCAAGGTTTATTTCCCACCTCCCTTACATTAAAAAAAAAAAAAATTCATGTAGACTAAATATAAAAATAAAAAGTAAAATTATTATAGGAATAAAAAATAGAAAAAATATTTAAGACCAATGCTATAGATTTTTCACAGATGATGAGGACTAAAAGTGGGCTATTATATTTGAAATTAGCCCAATCATTATTGATCTCAGTAGAAATACTTTTAATGGCATAATTGGGACCAAATCCATTTTTAAACTTTGTATGAGTGACTGGAGAATTATGAGATCAAATAAATGAGAGTTCAGGAAGTTGAAATAATGAGTGAGACAGATATTTTAAGAAGCTTCAGGATGGAGGGATAGGAAATATGACTTGTGGACAGAGGAGAAGCAGAATTAAAGAATGATCTTCTTAGGCCAATGATTTATGTACATTAATATATTGATGTAAAGCAGCCAAAAGATGAAGAGATATTAAAAATGCAACAAAGTTGTTTTCAACAATTCGTACTGAACAATTGAATGTCCATAGGCAAAAAAAGTGAACGTGCATATGCAAAAACAACAACGTGCAAAAAAAAAAAGAAGCAGGAAAATATTAACCTATACCTCACATTGTGTATACAAATTAACTCCAAAATGGATCATAAAACTAAATGTAAAATGTAACATTAAATTTTATAGAAAAAAATAGGGGAAAATATTCATAAATTTTGATTAGGCAAATAGTTTGTAGACACAACACCAGAAGTCTGATCCACAAATAAAAACTGATAAATTGGACTCGCACTATGGAATGTTGTTGGTTGTTGTTAGGTGCCATCGAGTCAGTTCCGACTCATAGAGACCCTGTGTACAACAGAATAAAACACTGACCAGTCCTGGGCCATCCTCACAATCATTGCTAAGTTTGAGCCCATTGTTGCAGCCACTGTGTCAATCCATCTCCTTGAGGGTCTTCCTCTTTTTCGGTGATCCTCTACCAAGTATGATGTCCTTCTCCAGGGATTGGTCCCTCCTCAAGTCCAAAGTACGTGAGACGAAGTCTCTACATCCTTGCTTCTAAAAAGCATTCTGGCTGTACTTCTTCCAAGATAGATTTGTTAGTTCTTTAGCAGTCCATGATGTATTCATTATTCTTTACCAACACCATAATTCAAATGCATCAATTCTTCTCTGATCTTCCTTATTCATTGCACAGCTTTTGCATGCCTATGAGGCAAATGAAAATAACATAGCTTGGGTGAGAAGCACCTTAGTCCCCACAGTGACATCTTTGCTTTTTAACACTTTAAAGAGGTATTTTGCAGTAGATTTGCACAATGCAATATGTCGATTGATTTCTTGACTCCTGCTTCCATGAGTATTGATTGTGGACCCAAGTAAAATGAAATCGTTGTCAATTTCAATATTTTCTCTGTTTATCATGATGCTGTTTACTGGCCCAATTGTGGGGATTTTTGTTTCTTTATGTTGAGTTGTAATCCATACTGAAGTCTGTAGTCTTTGATCTTCATCGGTAAGTACTTCTAGTCCTCTTCACTTTCAGCCAGCAAGGTTGTGTGATCTGCGTATCGCAGGTTGTTAATGTTTTTTCTTCCAATCCTGATGCCTAGTTCTTCTTCATATAGTCCAACTTTTTCGATTATTTTATCAGCATACAGATTGAATAAGTATGATGAAAAGATACAACCCTGACACACACACCTTCCCTGATTATATACCATGCAATATGCCCTTGTTCTGTCAAACGACTGCCTCTTGGTCTATGCACAGGTTCTGCATGAGCACAATTAAGTGTCCCGAAATTCACATTCTTTACAGTGTTGTCCATAATTTGTTATGATCCACACAGTCAAATACATCTTTCCAGTATTCTCTGTTTCAGCCAAGATCCGTCTGACATCAGCAATAATATCCCTAGTTACACGTCGTTTTCTGAATCTGGCTTGGATTTCTGATAGTTCCCTTTTGATGTATTGCTGCAACCACGTTTTTAAATCATCTTCAGCAAAATTTTACTTGTGTGTGATATTAATGATATTGTTCAATAATGTCTTCATTCTATTTTATCATCTTTCTTGGGAATGGGCATGTATATGGATCTCTTCCAGTTGGTTGGCTAGGTAGCTGTCTTCTAAATTTCTTGGCATAGGTGAATAAGTGCTTCCAGGGTTGCATCTGTTTGTTGAAACATCTCAGTTGGTATTCTGTCAATTCCTAGAGCCTTGTTTTTCCCAAATGCCTTCAGTGCTGTTTGAACTTCTTCCTTCAGTACCATCAGTTATTTATGATATGCTACCTTCTGAAATGGTTGAATGTTGACCAATTCTTTTTGGTGCGGTGACTCTGTATATTCCTTCCATCTTCTTTTGATGTTTCCTGTGTCATTCAATGTTTTGCCCAAAGAATCATTCAATATTACAACTTGAGGCTTGAATTTTTCTTCAGTGTTTTTCAACTTGAGAAATGCTGAGTGTGTACTATGGAATAGGTTGTTTGATTGTCTATGTCTGCTTGTTGATAAATGTTTATGTGTTTAGTAGAATTCAGTCTTAGTCTTTCTTACATTTATAACACACCACCTGAGTTTTTCTTTCATGTATAGCATGCCACCTGAGCAGGGACAGATTGTCCAATAAGCAAGATAAGCACATGCTTAGGGCATCAAAAAAACAGGGACACCAGTTGTCCAAAGTAAAGACCCATAGATGTTAAACAATAGGACACAAGGAAAGTGAGTGCCACGGTGAAAGGGAACAGCAGGGCACTAAATTAAAGTAACAACATTTTATAAATTTTACATAGGAGAACAACTATATTTTCCTTTTCCTTTTTGACCTATCAGGTATAATCTCACATTCAGTTCTCTCTTGTCGACCACATAAGACTGTGCCTGAGGCACCATAATCACTTGACCCTTGGCATATGTGATCTTGTGCAAAGCGATTCAAAATGCATCTTCAGATTGATCATACCCTTGTATTTGTATCATATTCTTTGAGATTGCTCTCGCCCCTGTTGGGTATCAGCAATAGTCTAATGAACTGTGAAGATGCAGCATTAAAGGATGGGAAGTGAGTGCACAAGTTTTTAAGTATTATTTTAAGACTAAAAACATTCGTGGAGATCTACAAATGGCCTACCAACAAACATCCTAAGACAAACGAATGAAATTATTTCTGACTGCCTCATAAGTACTATTTCTTTTGGCTATCTCAGACCTAAAGAACAAAATTACATAATTCCAAATCAATTTTTTTTACTTACTAATTTTCAAATATAAAGTTTTGTGCTAACGTCCATTTTATTTTATAAAATTTACTTGTTTTGTAAATTGTACGTATTTTCAATATTCAAATTTATTTGCTGTGGTAGAACCAAATTTAAAAAATGATATAATTTTATATCCAGGTAAAATAAAATGACAACAACTAAGTGGACCACAAAACAAAAGCTCACAGAAGATAAAAATAAAAGGATTTGTGACTCTATAAAGACAATTCCAAAAGTAACTCCTTTTTAAAAACATATGAATCACAAGAGATTTCGTCTATTGAATGCTCAAAGTTTAATGAGTGGAAGTCATTGTACTAGTATTGCTAGTGCTGAAAGTACTAACAGCAATACTAATGTAATAGAATTCATTCCAAAGTCTGCCTTCATTCCTTGCTGTACTAAAGAAAGAAAATTAATAACTGTGTAGAAAGTGAACCTATTTTAGAATCTGAAATTGTTGCATCTGCAGACCCCATAAATATCAGAAATATAGATCCTGCTTTGTGGAATAATTTTCTACTAATGATAAAAATTAGTCGCTTGAAAGAGGGCAAAGTGATTGTCAACATCACAGTGGACCATTTGAAAGTTCATGTTGAAAATTTCTGGATTGTAAACAAATAGGGTTCTGTAGCCAGAATATATTTCTAGGGTGCAAAGCTAATGGTGAAAATTATAAGAGGTAGTGGTTACTGTATTCTCCATCAGTCAGTTCTGTATATTGTTTTGTATGCAAACTATTCAGTCCTAAATCATTTAATTCTTGATTTGCTACAGATGAATTTAGAGACTGGCACAACTTGAGTATGATTGACAAAGATGAAAACTGTTCAATTCACAGAGATTGTATGCTGTCATATTTAAACAAAAGAACTGGTTTTGGCTTAACTCATGAACTGGAAACAGAAATTAATGAAGGTCAGTATTGGAAAGCTGTTTTGCAAAGTGTTGTTGCTGTCATTAGAACAATCGCTGAACCTGGTCTATCTTTTTGAGGAAGAAATGAAGTGTTTGGGCCCCTACAAAATGAAACTTTTCTGGGTTTACTTGATATTGTTGCTCAGTTTCATCCATTTTTAGCAGGTTACACGTCAAAATATGGTAGCACAAGAAAGGGCAACCCATCGTATATGTCTAAAACAATGTGTAAAGAATTAATAAACTTAATAAGTGATAAAGATCAATAAAGTATTTTCAGTGAAATAAGTATAGCTCGATATTTCAGTTTGTCTGTAGATTCCACTCCTGATCTTTCTCATACAGATAAGCTAAATATTGTTGTAAGATCCATATCTCCAGTAGATAGAAAACCTGTAGAGTGACTTTTATTTACTAACTTAAAAAGTCACACTGGTGAAGAAATTGCAGAACAAGTACTTCACTACTTAAGTGAAGTTTTCAAAATTGATTTTTCTAAGTGCAGAGGACAGTCATATGA